CAACAAGAGGTCTGCTGCTAATCTAAAGGCAGAGCTGAGATGTATAGGTGGGTCAGAGGTGAGAAATGTAAATTAAATATCTGAAACTACTCCCTGTGAGGTGGCAGACACACGGATACACAGACATACACTCACAGGCCACTTTATTAGGTACCCCATGCTAGTAACGGGTTGGACCCCCTTTTGCCTTCAGAACTGTCTCAATTCTTGGTGGCATAGATTCAACAAGGTGCTGGAAGCATTCCTCAGGGAGTTTGGTCCATATTGACATGATGGCATCACACAGTTGCCGCAGATTTGTCGGCTGCACATCCATGATGCGAATCTCCCGTTCCACCACATCCCAAAGATGCTCTATTGGATTGAGATCTGGTGACTGTGGAGGCCATTTGAGTACAGTGAACTCATTGTCATGTTCAAGAAACCAGTCTGAGATGATTCCAGCTTTATGACATGGCGCATTATCCTGCTGAAAGTGGCCATCAGAAGTTGGGTACATTGCGGTCATAAAGGGATGGACATGGTCAGCAACAATACTCAGGTATGCTGTGGCGTTGCAACTATGCTCAATTGGTACCAAGGGGCCCAAAGAGTGCCAAGAAAATATTCCCCACACCATGACACCACCACCACCAGCCTGAACCGTTGATACAAGGCAGGATGGATCCATGCTTTCATGTTGTAGACGCCAAATTCTGACCCTACCATCCGAATGTCGCAGCAGAAATTGAGACTCATCAGACCAGGCAACGTTTTTCCAATCTTCTATTGTCCAATTTCGATGAGCTTGTGCAAATTGTAGCCTCAGTTTCCTGTTCTTAGCTGAAAGGAGTGGCACCCGGTGTGGTCTTCTGCTGCTGTAGCCCATCTGCCTCAAAGTTCCACGTACTGTGCATTCAGAGATGCTCTTCTGCCCACCTTGGTTGTAACGGGTGGTTATTTGAGTCACTGTTGCCCTTCTATCAGCTCCAACCAGTCTGGCCATTCTCCTCTGACCTCTGGCATCAACAAGGCATTTCCGCCCACAGAACTGCCGCTCACTGGATGTTTTTTCTTTTTCGGACCATTCTCTGTAAACCCTAGAGATGGTTGTGCGTGAAAATGCCAGTAGATCAGCAGTTTCTGAAATAATCAGACCAGCCCTTCTGGCACCAACAATCATGCCACGTTCAAAGTCACTCAAATCACCTTTCTTCCCCATACTGATGCTCGGTTTGAACTGCAGGAGATTGTCTTGACCATGTCTACATGCCTAAATGCACTGAGTTGCCGCCATGTGATTGGCTGCTTAGAAATTAAGTGTTAACGAGCAGTTGGACAGGTGTACCTAATAAAGTGGCCGGTGAGTGTATATTACATTAGCAAAACACAACATTAACAAAAGCCTCAGGTTTGGTGTTTACCATAAGGGGACAAAGACCAAATAAAGTCCAAGGTTTTCTGTATATGAAACTCTGGGGAAGACCTTAAAACCTTTGTGCAGAATAACACTTTTCTTCTTTATTTGCATCACAGAAAAAAAAAAACCCGAAAAAAGAGACTACTCAATGAATACGTCAAAGTAGTAGTTCTCTAAACAAGAACTTAAATCCTTGCCTTGAAGAAAAGCACAAGTAACCATGCAGACATTTTAAACCATGTTGCATGAAAGGAAATATTCAGAAATCAAACTTCTGAAAGTTCTTTAAATCTGAAATGATTCCATCCTGTTCAATAAATGATCAGTGTTTTTAATTCAGAGTAATTGTCATGTGAATGTGCTTTACTGTAGGCATCCATGTTTGTCAAAGAACACTACTGCCACCTACTGGTTAGTGACGTCACGGTGCGGTATTGGCTGTTGATCAAGTCCCAGTGCTGTATCTGGTGTTTGTCACAACGCGCTATTATCCAAGTCATCTTGAAAACATTCTTCTTCCAAATGTTGGCTACATATTACGTGTTTTTTCTATGGCCAGAAGTTCGATGGCAAATCCTCCCTCTTCAAGTTGGCGATCCAACGACCAACCCGTCCGTGGAGGATCAGGAATCAGAAAGGTGGAATAACTCTTTTTTTTCACTTTTACCCGATGTATTCCAGCGTCCAGCTGCCATGCACGTGGGCATTGTCAGTTTCACTATAGCTCTGGTGAATTTCAATGGTGAAGTCCTCTGGAAATCTTCAATAATTGTTGTTGATTGCAGATGTGTCTAGTAGTTCCCATTGATTTAGCTTGTAAAGCGGGGAGAATGGCGCTAGGCTTACCGCACCGTGACGTCACTGCTGGAAGATGGCAGGAGGGAGGGGCTACTATATTTGGGCAAAAATGGCCGCTCCCAGACTCAGTGATCGCAACGAAAATGATTGTTTTTATTTTTTTACTGATTAATGCTAACTTCATTAAATCACAGCAAACATATTAGTTTTAGGTATAAATAATGATCCATTGATTATTCCTCACTGACTGGACTTTTCCTTTGAAGTCATTATTAATGTCTTTTTAATCATGTTTTAACATCA